CTGATACTCAACATGGCTAGCTAGATTATGTGACAAATTCAACTAACTTTACACATATTTCAGCTGTAGGTGTCACTATTACCCATTTTTATAATGCTCAAATACAATTTCCAAATGAACATTCATAGTACATTACACACAAGTATGCACATATACTCTAAAAATCATAGTTATTTTATTGCAACATTTTTTTGCAACATTTCAGCTCCTGGGACAGGAGAGTTGCAACAACCCAGTGTTTGTAATGAGCACAGATATTTTGCATTCTCTTCAGGTGAGAGTAGTTCTCAGTGTCGCCGACTTGCATTTCTTAAGTCAAATATAGGTGTAACGGAGCCGACGAGAGACGTGCGGATCCATCTGCAAAGCTTTTATTTAAAGGTGTGGTAATAAAACTGGCAAGGTTCAGACAATGGCAAACAGGTATATGAGGGCAAGATGAAGAGTAATCCAAAACGGGCGTGAGTCAGTCGGCAGCAAACGTTATCCAGAGGGCTTGACAAGAGGGGAAATCCAATAACACGAACAATAGTCCAGGCAGGAGCAAACAGAGTCTGAACGGCGAGGCAAAAGGGCAATCCGAGAGACACAGGCAGGAATCAGAACACAAGAAAACAGGCAAGGCAAGACTAAGACTAAACTATGAAAACTAGAAATGGCTCCGTAGAGTAGCTATCACTAGGTGAGTGATAAGCGCTAAATAATACTCGGCAGTGAATGGTTGTTTGAGTGAGTGTTATATAGTGAATGTGTGATTGGTTACAGCTGTGTGCAATCAGTTCTGTGTGCCAAGGATGATGGGATATGTAGTCCGGGATGACATGCAATAGTTTGTGTAGTGCGAGAGTCAATGTAATGGAAGAGTGACCTCTGGTGGTGATTGAACGGAAGTCCATGGACAGGATTCGTGACCTAGCCCCCCCAAGGAGTGGCTTCCAGACGCTCCGAACACTTTACGATTCAGGAGGGCGGTGGAGCGGAGGCGGAACAGGCGGAGGGACGGAGGGCCAGGTCCACGTGGTAGTGGAGAGACCGGGGACTGAGGCAGGACCGGCGGAGCAGGATGCCAAGGCGAAGCAGAAAGCCAGGGTGAAGCCGGCAGAGCAGGAAAACGGCGAGGCAAAAGGGCAATCCGAGAAACACAGGCAGGACTCAGAACACGAGAAAACAGGCAAGGCAAGACTAAGACTAAACTATGAAAACTAGAAATGGCTCCATAGAGTAGCTATCGCTAGGTGAGTGATAAGCGCTAAACAATACTCTGCAGTGAATGGTTGTTTGAGTGAGTGTTATATAGTGAATGTGTGATTGATTACAGCTGTGTGCAATCAGTATTCAGGATATGTAGTCCAGGATGACATGCAACAGTTTGTGCAGTGCGAGAGTCAATGTAATGGAAGGGCGACCTCTGGTGGTGATTGAACAGAAGTCCATGGACAGGATTCGTGACAATAGGTTTGTGTATGTTTTATTTAATCTATAAAACAGTTTCTTTGCTGTAAATCATTTTATTTTATGCAAAGCAAACCAAGTCACCTAAACAAGCCACATCAGTCTTTTTGCAACAATTAAATGTTTAATTTTTACTTCTAAAATGCTTGTTAAACGAGTTTACATGTAAGAAATTTTGTTTTAAGAACTGTATTTAACTAAAAGGCATTTAGAGAAAGAAAGATAAAAAATTTCAAAATAAATGAAAAACTAAAACGAAACGAAACCAACAGCAGTTATTGAACACCTAACTAAAAATAATAATCAAAAATAAATAATCGTTTTCTAATCAATCTCGGCATGCTTTAATATTGTGTCGCTAGAGGTTTGCGTCAATAAGCTTAAATTAAAATGTCTTTGGTCTGCACTCTGGAAGTGTTCTGTTAATTCTGCTAAACTTTAAGTACTAAAACTAAAATTAAAACTGAAACTAAACTGTATAAAAACTAAATAGGCTATAAATCTGTTCACAAAATCAAAAATAAACTAAAATTAACAAAATTATTAATGAAACCAATAAAAGAAAATTGAAAGCGATAGTCAAATAAAAATGAATTTAAAAATGCAAAACTATAATAACCCTGACACGAACATCTTTCAATGGTGCGTGAGGAGGGGGATCCGCCGAATGAGGTTATGGGAATTCTGAGGTGCTGGATGCGGACCCAGCTTGTTCAAATTACACCCTGACTACGAATAGGGATTTCGGCTGTACGAGCACGGCTTGGACAGATTTCTATATCTCTTAGTGAAAATTAACTACAGAGACTGGTGCTTTCCGTGTCCTGAACAATGTTTGTCGAGCTGCTTACCAGGAATTCTCCCAAATCTTCCCATTGCCACTTCAGGCCTGTACATACACTTAATTTGCTTTTGCAGCTATACTAGTGTTTTTTTTTCCCCATTAATTTTTTACGTTGCAGTAGGAAAAAATATATAATAATCAGAAAACACGCCCGTGTCTGCTTTATTTGAATGCAGTTGTACCAATAAACAAAACCTCCAGTCTTTCACATGCATCTTAAAGATCGTGTTTAATTGTGAATGTGAAGTGGGGACGGCATGGTAGGGTTTTGCCTAGAGTGGCAGTTGAGCTCACGCCGGACCTGCAAATATGCCAAAAAAACACAGGAAGGGGCAAAAACCTCTTCACGGCACTGTACTATCAGATATTGCTCATTGAAGGTTATTACAGGACAGAAGAAAAAGCTGCTCTAGAACTTTACTTGCTAGCTGACAAGTGACGTTAGATTGCTTGGAAAAAGTTAGCTACTTGTTTCTATTGACAAACTAATTTTAAACTTTAAAGTATTAAATTAAAATAAATATTATTGTCAATGTCTGAACAGCATGTAACGAAACTTTAAAAAATAAAGCCTGTAGAATTATTATGTGAATGACTCAGGGCAGTTTTGCTGGGAAAATCCAAGGCAAACTGTCATTACAGTGTAATTGCAATGAACCTCATCTTTCGACACGATATTGGTGAATCCCACTGTCCGTTGTTCGCTCGCATTACTATGGTGTGTGCAAGAGCATGAGCAATAATTTACTGACCACAGCTCACTTAACGGCCAACGGTGTCGCTAATAAGAAGGGTTTCTGGATTCTACATAGAGCCCTTTAACAGCTAAATATCAACATTTTCAGGAGTTAATCTTTACTGTTGACAGTGAAATAGCTTGAGCCATTCTCTTGAGTAGGATTGGGTGGTATGACAATACAGTTTTGCAGGACTGCTTAATTTTTTACATGCTATAAATAAACGATAAAGAAACATGAAAAAATAAAGTGTAGAAATGCTTAATGGTATTCAAGTAAACAGAAATATGGATCAATATATTGGGTATATTGTGTAATGTTAGGGTTAAAGAATATGTTGTTTATAAGTTGTTCAAGGAGGGGAAAGCACTTATCCTTCTCTTATTGTAACGAATCATCCACTGAGGGCGAGCAAAGTGAAGAACCTAAGTGCAGTTTATTTACAGTGATCCAAACAAGATACACAGACTTAACGAGGCACAAACAGACTAGACTCACCGACAGTGGGTTACAACTTCAATACACGACGAAGACTGTGGGAACATGATGGCTACTTATAGCAAACAAGAGGGTCACAAGACAAGAACAAACCAATGGGAAACAAGACACATGACTAAGACAACCAATCAGAACATGACACAATGAACAGAGGAACCATGAATACATGAGGGCAAGGGAAGCATGACACAAACAGGGATCAAACTACAAAATAAAAGAGGTGAAAACATGAACAAGAAACACAACCCAAAACACCACATTACATAGCCCCCCTCTAAGGGCGGCTCCAGACGCCCAAACAAACACAACCAAAACCCAACAAGTCCAGGAGGGTGGTGGAGTGGAGGCGGAACTGGGGGAGGGACAGAGGGCCAGGCCCATGAAGCGGAATAGGCAGAGCAGGGAGCCATGGCGGAGCTGGCAGAGCGGGGGGCCATGGCAGAGCAGGCAGAGCGAGGGGGCATGGCGGAGCAGGCAGAGCGGGGGGCCATGGCGGAGCAGGCCGAGCGGGGGGCCATGGCGGTGCAGGCAGAGCGGGGGGCCATGGCGGTGCAGGCAGAGCAGGGCGGCCGGGTGATGATGACAGAGCAGGAAGCCATGGTGGAGCAGAGACATGGACAGACCACTTGACTGTGAGTTCGTGAGCGGCCTCCATGTCTGTGACAGGACAGACAGTGAGTTCATGAACGGCCTCCTTGGCCGTGGCAGGGCAGACAGTGAGTTTGTGAACTGCCTCCATGGCCATGACAGGGCAGACAGTGAGTTCATGAACGGCCTCCTTGGCCGTGGCAGGGCAGACAGTGAGTTTGTGAACTGCCTCCATGGCCATGACAGGGCAGACAGTGAGTTCATGAACGGCCTCCTTGGCCGTGGCAGGGCAGACAGTGAGTTTGTGAACTGCCTCCATGGCCATGACAGGGCAGACAGTGAGTTCATGAACGGCCTCCTTGGCCGTGGCAGGGCAGACAGTGAGTTTGTGAACTGCCTCCATGGCCATGACAGGGCAGACAGTGAGTTCATGAACGGCCTCCATGGCCGAGACGGGGCAGACAGTGAGTTCGTGAACGGCCTCCGTGGCCGTGACAAGACAGTCTGTGAGTTCGTGAATGGCCTCCGTGGCCGTGACAGGGCAGACAGTGAGTTCGTGAACGGCCTCCGTGGCCGTGACAAGACAGTCTGTGAGTTTGTGAACAGCCTCTATGGCCATGACAGGGCAGGCAGTGAGTTCGGAAGCGGACGCCGCCACCTCAGGAGGTTCTGCAGCGGATGCCGCCACCTTTGGAGGTTTTGCAGCGGAAGCTACCACTTCTGGAGGCACTGGATTGGATTCATGGACAGGAGAGGCCTTTGAAGCAGACTCATGGATAGGAGAGGACTCAGGAGCAGACTCGGGGACAGGAGAGGCCTTAGGAGCAGACTCGTGGACAGGAGAGGCCTCAGGAGCACAGTGTGCAGCCCACACGCTCAAAATGGTGACCGCCATCACAGGAAGGGCAGCAGAGTGTGGCATGACCTCTAAGATGGCGGGGCTTGAGAGTGCTGATGTCACCGGAATGCCTGCAGCTTGCACCGACATCAGAGGTGGGTCCATCACACTAGCAATCAAACCTTTCAGTCTTGGACCAAGCTCCGCATCCGAATCAGGCGTGGCGGCCATCTTGGCCGGGGACTCAGGCGTGGTGGCCATCTTGGCCGGGGACTCAGGCGTGGCGGCCATCTTGGACTCAGGCGTGACCGGCATGATGTGAGCAGGCTCTGGCTTGGCAGACGTGACATGAAGAGGACTTGGCGTAGCAAACATGACGGGAGCAGGCTCTGGTTTGGCAGACGTGACGTGAGCAGGCCCTGGGGTAGCAGACATGATGTTATCAGACTCTGGCTTTGCAGACATGATGTGAACAGGTTTTGACTTGGTAGATATGACATGAGTAAACTTTAACTTAACTGGCATGATGTGAGCAGGTCCTGGAGTAGCGGGCATGACGTGAGCAGGCTTTGGTGTAGCAGGCATGACGTTAGCAGACATGATGTGAGCAGGCTATGGCTTGGCAGGCATGACGTGAGCAGACCTTTTGGAAGTGTCATGTTCCTTCTCCATGACACCCACAGTGAAAGCAGATCCACTCAGTCACAATCCAAAGTCTATGTACTGTTCAAGTGACCAGTGTGGGGTATTGCGTGGCATTAATTGAGAAATGTCATGAGATAGTCCAAAATGGAAAGTGTTCTTGAGAGCAACATCGTTAAAGTTCACCTGATAACAAAGTTCACAACAATCACTCACGTAATCCTCTATAGGCCTATCACCTTGACGAAGGCAGAGGTCCATTGTAGAGGTCGTATATTCTGTAATGAATCAGTCACTGAGGGCGAGCGTAGTGAAGAACCCAAGTGCAGTTTATTTACAGTGATCCAAACAATATCCAAACAAGATACACAGACTTGACTTGACGAGGCACAAACAGACTATGACTATGGGAACATGATGGCTACTTATAGCAAACAAGAGGGTCACAAGACAAGAACAAACCAATGGGAAACAAGACACATGACTAAGACAAACAATCAGAACATGACACAATGAACATGAATACATGAGGGTGAGGGAAGCATGACACAAACAGGGACCAAACTACAAAATAAAAGACATGAAAACATGAACAAGAAACACAACCCAAAACACCACATTACACTTATATTTGTATCTAAATGTAATGGCACTGTCTCTTGCACTTGATTGCTTGTAAATATTGTTTATATTTTTGCATTTTCAAATGACAAATTACTTGTATTTTAATTAAATACATTTCTCACACCAGTATTTTGTATTTAAAATTAAATACATTTGATGAGAAAGTATTTGTAATTTGTAACTAAATACTTTTTGATGTAATTGTGCCCATCTCTGATCATCGCACAGTGTGTTTGCAGCTACGGTCCACGTTTACTGACCAGCCAATAAAAATGCGACATGGCGCTAAACATAAAACTGCTTACCTCAAGCTCTTATGCCTTCCTCTTTTGCCGCTTCCAATTTTTTTCAGCACACATAAAAACTACAACTGCTAAAGTGTGATTTATCATGCTCTTTTTGTTTACCACTAGTGCATGCTGATGACGTTTATTCTTCTATAGAAACGTGTGTTGTATCTTATGAGTCAATAGGTGTCATCATCGTACAGTCTACACACATGTTGTAGTCAAGTTTATTACATCCATGTCGCACAGTGTGACATGCAGTGATCTTATAGGATTGCTAAAATCGTGCAGTGTCTCAGGCTTAACATTAGGCAACTTTTAACTTTATACCCTGGAACTGGCTCACCATCCGCCTATAACTCAGAACTTTTTCTTCAGTGTTTCCACAAGAGTATGTGTTTTTGAGTATATTGTTTTTTGACTTTTTTTACTTGTGGGAAAGTAGTAAATCACAGTACAGCTGTGATAACAGTAATTCAAAGATGATGGGAATGCAACATTAATCTAACTTTAAAAAAAAGTTTAAACCACATTGTTAAACTAGTTTATTCTGTTGACACAGATTCAGAGGGTGTGATGCTGAATCTGGTTGTGTGCGGGAGTAACAGAGAATTAAAATCCTTCATATTAAACCTGATCCTGAAGCAGAGCGAGAGAAGATCCGAGCTGAGCTCCGAGTGTGTGAGGAGAGACGTGGAGCTTGATGGACGTCTGATCAGTCTGGTGGAGCTTCCAGCTCTGTTCAACACTCAGCTCTCAGAGGAGGACGTGCTGCGTCAGACTCACCGCTGTGTGTCTCTCTGTCATCCTGGAGTTCATGTGTTCATCCTCATCATTCCTGATGCTCCACTGACTGATGAAGACAGAGCAGAAATAGAGAAGATCCAGAGGATCTTCAGCTCAAGAATCAACAAACACATCATGATCCTCATAAAGCAGAATCCAGAGCATCAGACAGCAGAACTCAATGAAGAAACACAGTCTGTCATTGAGAGATTTGGAGGACGACATCATATCATTGACCTGAACACACAAGTGTCTGTGTTGATGGAGAAACTGGAGCAGATGGTTGAGGAAAATAGTGGTGTTTGTTTCTCCACAGAGACACAGATGGAGAAACTAGAGAAATTTGAAGAAATGAAGAGAAGAATTAATTCATTAGAGACGTGGTTTCAATCACAAGGTAATGATCAGAAAATCTGCATTGATT